TTATTTTTGGCCTGGGAGAAATGGCTTTCTGAGTCCATTTCACCTTGATGGATTATGATGCCATTTTAAATGTCAATTGATAATAATTGTGCCATAAAAATAAATAATAATAATAATAAAAAAAAGAACCATTATAAATGTTATCAGTTTAAACCCACAGTGTCCCTTTTATTAATATTTCTAATTTATGGGCTTGTTGAGAAATCTGCAGAGACAACAAAGCTAATAAATCTGAGGTTAAAAGAACTGCAGAAGGCAGTCTGTGTGGGTTTTCTGCTAGATCATTGCCAGCTGTTGAACTTTGAGAAGATCGGAGCAGCTGTCACTGGGGAGGTTGTTAAGTCCAGTAAGGCATAAAGCATGGAAGACAGCCTACAAGGACATGAAACTCCAAAGGGGACATGGGAAATATGCAGCTGTACCATAGCTAGAAATTTCTGGTGAACCTTAGCACTCGGGCCTCTTACTACAAGCCTATCCTTGCTCTGTATTAGCTGGCTGAGCACAAGCCCTCGATGGGGAGGTCTTGTGAGCTGTGACCTCTGTGCTGAACATAAGCACCAGACTGCTCTGGTTCTGTATCACATGTGGAAGTGGGAGCTGAAGGAGACATTTTCATGCACCAGGTGAAACCCTGCCCCATTATCACCTCTATGCAGGGAAGAGACCACTAGGGCACAAACTTGGAGGGAGCTTGTAAGCAGGAAGAGGAGCGACGTTTTACATGATAGGGCAAGGAGGAATGCCTTTAAACTAAAAGAGGCGAGATTTGGGGTAGACGTTAGACAGCAATTCTTTACTCAGAGGTGCTGGCACAGCTGTCCAGAGGAGCTGTGGTGCCTCATCCCTGGAAGGGTCAAGGCCAGGTTGGATGGGGCCCTTGGCAGCTTGAATTGGGGGGATGGCAGCCCTGCCTATAGCAGCATCTCAGGACTCAATAGTCTTTAAGATTGTCTCTAACCTAAGCCAGTCTATGATTCTACAATTGTATGAAAAGGCACACTTCCTAAGCAACAGCGTAAATGCAATTTGTTTTCCTCTCTGAGATAGGTGGTATAGCACGAAGAGCCCCCGACGTTTGATCTCAAAATGATTTTGAGTCAGCACATTTAGGAGTCTTCACTTTCAGAAAGCACATCGTATTTTAAAAGTTTCTCTCACTTTGTGGATTTCTAGATTTGCTTGACCTGGACAAGAAGAGTTGAGAAAATCAGCATGGCATGGTTTTCTTGTAGACAAGCTGCCTGTTGGTGTGAGGAGTTGCCTTCAGAGCCCAGCAGCTCCAAGGAAAGATGTGTGTCCTACCTGCATAGACTAAATTAGACAGGTAGCAGAGTAATTGTAACAAATGAGAGTCATCTACATTTCCAGGTCAAGCAGAAACATAAAAATATCCCCAAACTTCCCTACAAAAGCTATCATATTAGAATTTGGCAGAAAAATAACTTTTTCATTCTTCGGTAATTTAAAAGTAAATCATTCCTTGTTTTGAAAATAAATAATTTGTTACATTTCAGCAACTCCATCGTTTGAAAAAGGGGTCAACAGAAATATTTTAATTTGTAAAATGTTCATTTGCATTTCAAGCTTCTATTTTTTCCCCTTTTCTTTATTCTAATACAATACAAAGAAAAGAAAATCCAACATAGCAGTCATTACAAAGAAAGAGTTCAAATTTTTTTGTTAATAAACCAGTACATATAATACTTTTTTCCATTTTGTTATTTAAAGAAATATGAAAATGCTACGGTCTTCCAGTATTACTTAAACATTTTGACATCAAATCTACTTATTTTTTCTGAAGGAATTTTGTATGCAAAACATAGGATTTATGCATCATTACACTGATGCTTTGTAATCTCCTTTCAAGAGCTGTCATTTATTCACTCTTTCCTACTTTAGAGCTTGTGTTTTTCTATATAGAAGAACAAAAATATATTTCTCAGTTGGCACTGCCGTCAGATTTAATAAAAAGAACAATACAATAAGACAGAACAAAAATAAAGCCTTCACGAGGAAGCTTTCAAGTTATAAATTTGCACGTGTGCATCCCATTTAAACCCAAACATAGCCAGAAAATCATCTTGCCCCTGCGAGCAGCAGGGAGGTTCAGAGTCACAAGCTAAGACAGAATTGTTACACAAACATGCAGAGTTTGATTTTGAAACATGGGACTACAGCATTGTCTCAGCAGGGGCCTATCCAGAGAGACTCAGCAGTGGAGACAGGCAGTGTATATTTTGTGAATATGAGATTCCAGTTTCACTTGTTACGTGTTGTCAGTGTGATCACTGCATAAAGGTATGAAAACTCACAGTGTGCCTGTCTCCCCTCTTAGTTCTTTGCAATATTTTTTAACACAGAGACACCTGTATTTCTTTAGAAGCTGGTGATGGAAGGCTGTGTCTCTTCTTTTCAAAATGGTGTGTGGAGCACACCAGTGGAGCACAGAGGAGGCATAGGAAGTAGATTTTTTGCCCTAAGCCTGGGACCTCCAAAGATACGAGTCCTCTCATTAGGAGTGCTGGAACCCATTAGACTTTCTCCTGGAATCATCCTTCTGTAGCAAGAAATGAGCCCCTTGAGTACCAATACGCTCTAATAACAAACCAAAGAGAGCTTTTCACAGTTAAGGAAAGCATGTCCTTTCTTGGGGTTCATTTGTCAGATAAAGTAGACAAATCTACAGGTTTCACTCCTGCACCTATGTACAGCCTTTGGAAAGGTGGGTAGAAGAGGAAGCTTAAAAAAACAGAGGCTCCCAGTCCCTGGAGATGTTTGCTGTGTGCCTGAAATCTTTCAGGTAATAGATAGCGCAGTAATTAGCAGAGAGTCCAGACACTGTCATATATATGCTGAACTAATACATCATAGCCTGGGTCAAGGACATTTCATTTGACTCATGATATCTGAGCAATGAGTAAGATTTTAAGCCACCACAAGAAGACCAGTCCCTGTTTTAGTGCCCCCAGCAAGCTGAGTAGGGAAAATAAGGCATTGTAGGAGGATGAACTGAGTTCCTCTTTGTGCTCTTTCATGGCATTCAATCTCCAACTGATTTTCAAATCAGGAATCATGAACAGAAAGGCAAGCCCTTTTGTTAAATAGGCTGTTTCCATCCAAGGTGTACATTCACAGCATCTTTTTTTTTTTCCTCTCTCCCTCAATAGTATGCTCATTTCCTCTCAGCCCACAAATTACCCTCTCTCTCATTCTGACTAAGCAGAAAATAGGAAGAAATCATTCCTGTGATCCTAGCCAGAACTATAGGCACTGACAGAACCCAAAAGAAAGAGAAGATGGTGATGCTGCCTTTGGCCAGAGCAGCACCTCTCTATGCATTTAGAATTTATAGGCAAGGTGTCTTTCCTGCAATACCACAAGACCTCTTGCATCTATGCAGTAGCTGCTTCCTCATCAGGCACTGAGAAGGGTGAGATCCTCCTTCACACAGATGTCCCCAGTGAGGCACTGGGCAGAAGGATGCCCTGGGAACAAAGAACAGCTCTTCTCTACTTCTTTCCTTTCATCAAAGCAAAAGACACGCTCTTGTCTAACCTATTGCCTGGGGAGAAGCTTTATTAATAAAATCAGATAATTAAATAGTCTTTGTTATAACTGTCTGCATCACTTTTTTTTTTGCCTTTCATTGTTCTTTTTCCACTTACCCACCCACCCCCACCCCTTTTCCAGTATTTGGAATCTGGAAAAAGCCGAAAGCCTTTCATCTTATCAGATGTGGTTTATTGCGCCCTGGTTACACAGTAATTTTGGTCTCCGTTCAATGAAGAGGTCATATGATGGGATATCAGCTCAAGAATTGTCAGTTCATTGGACAAATAAGGCAGGGCCTGCCGATACAGTAATAAGACCTGATAACGAAGGCACAGAAGAGAACCAGCAGGAGAGGGAGACACAACCGTAACAATCTAAAAGGTGAGGGGCAATCCCAGAAGAACACACAAAATACCACGGGGGACAGGGAGAGGGAAGGAACGGGAGTGTGTCTAACCACACATTCTTCCCAAAATAAAAATTAACAAGATAGAAGGGCCTCAGGAGTGGAATCATTGGCATTTATCAACAATCTCCCGGCATGATGGACGCCTGACTGGGAGGCATAGCCAGCCAGTGGGATGATTATCCGTCCCATTGCTCGGGAAAGAAAATAATGTTTTATCTCTAGGACTAAAGGTGGGGGGTAGAGGGCACTAATTCCTGTTCCTAAGAGTGTTGCAAGGGGCCTCTCTTTTTCTCTTGTGACTGATAAGGTGGAACGTTGTTGAAAAGCACCTGTTTGGAAAGTTCAAAGGGTTTCCAGAGTGAGAGAAAAGAATTTGAACCAAAGCTGGTGGCTATGGGGGAGAGCTGAAGGATAACCTGGGAACTGCTGGTAAGGGAGGTTTCCATGTGTGACACCTCCTTGTATGTGAGAGAAGGTTACCAAATGTCTCCTTTGCTAGTAAACAGCATGAAGGACAAGTATTTGTCCTGCCAACTATTTTCTTCTGATCGTATTAGCAGAAAATCAAACAAATTGTCAAAGATCGCAGTCTGAAACTGGAAAAGGAAGATAACTGCCCCAGGAACAGGATTTACCAACATGAAGAAATTCTTCAAGGGCTTTTTTCACCTGGGTCTGTGAGAAGTATACCTCCTCCAGGGATGGCAATGCAATTGCTCAGAGCTCTGTAAATCTGCTCCGACGTGGGGCTGTTTGGAAGTGGGTGGGGTTGGTGAGACTTTTCACCTCCAGCTTCTGATGCTGGCTTCCCCAGGCATGCTGGCACAGCTCTAGATCCCAAGCTGGCCAGAAGAGAGGAGCAGGCACGCGTGCTCACTTCGGGGTTGCCTCTGTTTCTCCTTCCTACGCTCCTGCAGGTTGGCTAGGCACGAGAAGGGAGAGGTGCACACCTTCCCAGCTGCATGTTTCTTGGGGTTCATCAAGAGCAGGGCAAGCAGGTGAAGACTCTCTACTCTGGGGCTGCTCTGGTAGGAAGATGATGGACCCCTGTGAATGTGCCAGCCAGAGGAAGCCCAGCCTGTCCTTTTCCATTGAGGAGATCTTAAAGAAACCTTCTGCCAGCACCACCAGCAATGAAACCAGGAGCAGGAATAACTATGCTGGGAGATCTCCAGCTCTAAAAGCAGAATCACCATGGGCCTTTGGTAAGTACAAGTTCACATAATGAAAAATAATCTTTTGTTTCGTTTTGTTTAACCCCTAAAACTACCTGATTTGGATTAGATAGAATTTTTATTCTTAAATTCTTCAGGAATTTGGGATTTCCATAGTCAGGCACAAATCATTCATTACATTACAGGAATTATCTTTAAAAATTAATTTCCTTCTAACCTCACAGCAGACTGGGCTCTGCTGTCAGTCTTTGAAGGGATTTTGTACGACCCAGTATCAGTGGAGAAATGGGTATGCAGCTTGAACAGTCATTGCAGGTAGCTCTTTTCAGTAATAGTGAGGTGACCTTATTGAAAACAAATAGAACATCCTGTACATTTCCCTTTAAAAGCAATGTTTCTAATATTAATTTAAAAAAAAAAATTGCTTTTTTTTTGTCACAAGGAAAGGCAGATTGAAACTCGGGAAGCTGCCCTAAAACTGCTGCAACTTAATGAAGATGATTGAGCTTCATTTATATGAAAAGCTGACTGTGGTCTGAAGTGATAGTCAAATCTCATATTGGTATCATTTTCTGATAAATCTGATCACTCATCCTCAGGCAGGAGAAATGGGTAAGGGTATTGGTAGCTAAGGAGTTTTAGAACTCAATCACTGGAACAAGAAAAGAAAAATCATCTGCGTTTAATCATTTTTGCTTATTGTCAAGATGCTAGGCCTTTTCATGTATTAAATAAAACCAACCAGTAGATAACTAGCATGACTTCGACCATAGAAAAGCAGCAGTGCATTTGCCTTTTTGACTTCAGTTTCCTCAGTTAAGTTAATTCGGCCATGAGTGAACTTTTACCTCTTCTGAAACTGTCTTCTTTTTTTCCTTAACAAAGATCAATGACCAGCACTTTCTGGATTTAGTATTTATTATTCTTTTTTAGTCTACACTTTCCACGAGACAGGGGTGTTTTTTTATGTGCAGGCATCTTCACTTAACTGAAAAAATCATCAGGAGTTTTGATGGAGGATTTTCATTCACTTTTTGCTTAACTGCTTTCAACAAAGCTTAATGATACAGCTTTATTTTTGTAACACAAAGAAATTCCTCATGGATCACTACCCCATTTCCCTGAACACTGGGTGAACTAGTAGTAAGAAAGTCTTTTTCTAAAGACCTGATGGTTCAAGTAACCATTGCTTATTCACATAGTTTCAGCTTTTTTTATGTCCAAGTGGAATTCTGATCTGGATGGGAAAGAAAACAAGATCTAAATCAGGAAGGGAGCTACAGAAAAGTGAGCACCAGATCCAGTCTGTATTTTAAATATGGTCCTGAAACACAGAGATTTCTAATTTGCAGGAGTGGACAAGGGCATAGCTATGTTGGTGCAAGCATAAAAGGACCAACATGACAAAGGAGAGCAGGAGCCAGGTTGCCTAGCTGGGGAAAATGCTGCTGTGGGCATTGTGGGAGTGGGATTTTGTGAGTTGAAAGCCCTTTCCAAAAGGCCCATGGCCATCACTTTGTGCTGTTGAATCCAAAGTGAGACAAACAACATCACGGAAAACGGGCATGCTGTTCATAGCGTGAATGATAAAACTGCATTTAAACAACAAGAGACTCCTCTCTGGAAACAAAAAAAGAATATTGTAGACAGGATCTATTATACTAAGTCTGCTTCATGATCAGTGAGCTGAAGATGACCAGCCGTGTTTTGCAGTGCATCTCAGCTAAGTGAGCCACTCCAAGCTCAAGAACTGACAAAACTGTATGCAGAACATGGCAGGTTCTGGGAATTGCATTACTGTACAGGCAGTAGAGTCTGATCCCAAACTGCTCCACCTGAGAGTACAGTCACTTTTCCACTTTGAAAGTGATGCAGGCATAACAGCATGGCTTTGCCTTTGACTTCACATCATCATCCAGCCAGGGTCTAGCTTATCAAGAGAATACAGTGACCCTTCTATTTTCTGCTAGAAAGTAAGGCTGAATTAATTTACTCAAGGCAATGTAAAATGTTAACTAATGAAAGAGGCATGTATGCATGAATATTCACCTGCCTGTCTCTAAAACTGAGAAAACATAGGAAAGCTGTACAGAAATTCCAAAATTTCGTTCTACGCTGTTTTTACAATTGATCAAAGAACTTAAAAAATAGAATGAAAATGAAGATTTTCACTGTTGATTTCTTACTAACACCAAAGAGATACCTAAGCTTATTACTCTTTACTTTCCCAGAAGAATTGCCAATTTTTGCAGTTAGGATTTATTTCAAAACTGTAACACCGTATGCTGTACATCTTGGGGTAATTGCTGTGCTTCATCAAAGCCATCCAACTTCATGCCGTTTAACAATGGCACTAAACAAATTATGTAAATATTTAGCCATATATAATTTGGCCAAGATCAGGGAAATGACATGAGGTAGGGAACTTGTTGGAAATTCCATGATAGGATACAAATCCTGCTGCTCTCTCAGAACAGCTCAGCAGCAAAGAAGGAAGTACTAAGGTCAGGGCTGAGTCATATCTTACTGTAGATTTCCCACCTCCCATATGTTATGTATCTGAGCCAAGCTATGATTTATAAGAGTCAGAAATGGCTCAGACACATACCCATATCTCCCATGAAGTAGATACCCAGGCTAGAAACAATTGTCCAGCCAGTCTGCTGATGCAGGCAGTCTGGAGACCAAGGTCACATTGGTCCTAAATTCTAAATCTAGGCTTCAAGCATTGAGAAGATGGTGGAACCAGAAGATTCAGAATGTCAGAAGTGAGGGACATAGCCATAGCTTACCCTGGAGTCCTTTTCCAAGGCAACTCAGGGCACAGGACTAGACGTAAGAAGTTAGTTCTAACTTAAGTTGTTATATGATAAAAAGAATGCAATGTACAGTGACAGCAACTCAGCTGATCACATCTAAGAAGATTTCTGTGATTGATTCCTAAAGTTCACAGATTTTTGTAAAGGTATCTTCAGTGTGATTTGGAAAAAGGGATGTAGTCTTCCAACAAGCCTGTTTGCAGTATTAGGCATTTGTGTGATTACTACACAGACATGACTACAAGATATCCCGGAACTGCCGTTGTTGACCTGAAGTCTACTAAAGGTTTTGAATTTTTGAGAGACTCATAAAAAAAGGAATGGTGAACAAGAAGACGTTTTAGTATTCAGCCTGTTTCTCCCCTCTAATTTTTTTCACACTGCCTGGGAAGAGTAACCATGGCCTTTGCAAGGGACACAAATAAACAGCAAGCACCGGTCTCCTTCCTAATGTCAAATCTTTCATTTTAATCAGGGTGGACTAACAGGTGTGTTTTAGAAAAAGGGCCGGTCTGCTAAACGAGTCACTCATCTGTTAAATGAATTGGCCCCTCTTCTGAAATCCCTGGGAACTTGATTTTAATGTGCTTGAAAGTACATCTGAAATAATTGTTCATTACTCCCCCTTACTGTCTTTCTGTCAGTGACGTTCCACCAACAGGAGGTCTTTTGTCAAGGCAAGGAGAGTTTGGGATAAGTACACTACACCTGGGAAATTAATAGTAAAAGCAGTAATAGATACGGTAATTATGTTATTTTGTCAGCATTATGCCCTGTTGTGTTAAGGATATGCAAATTAATATGAATTCAACTGCCGCTTCACACAGAAGTGTCAATATGGTGAATATTTACTTCACCCATAGCAACACTCCACCCAGGTTTGTTGCGAAAGAGCAAACAGAAGATGAAGGCATATAACTGAATAGATACCATCTGGCCAATATCAACAGTTCACCCCACCTTTCACAAGAAAAACTCATCTACCTAAAAAAAGATATAGAAGCAAGAGAAAAGCAGCACACAAAAAAAGCTGCTCGCAGTTCTCAGTGACGATTGGTCCCTATTCACCACCTTAGTAGGACCCTAAAATGCTTGAGATCTTCAACAGATCAGTTTCTGTCTAGCAATTACACAAAGAGGCTTAGATAGGACTTATAGCATTGGAAATAACCTCCTGCTTCCAAAAACAAATCTTATGTGCTTGCCTGAAATTTTCCATCCTTTCCTACACAGTTGAAAGTCAAACCAAAAAGGTCGTTTTGGGCCATGAGTCAAAGCCAATGAATACGCATTGAAAAATACTGGCTGACCTTAAGAGCTACCACTTGCTAGAGCCCTTGCTTGTTCAGTTGAGGAAGTACCACAGAAAGTTGCAATAGGAAGAGTAGGACTAGATTCTGGGACTCTTAACTCTCAGATCTGTGCCTGAAACTCGTTGTCATCCACTTTCAGTCTTCTGCTCCAGAAAGTTCCCTTCATTTTTCCAGCCTCTCCATGAGGTTTATACCACTATAATTTGCTTTTCTGATCTCAAAAAAAACAGATATTCCCACTCCTTTCTACCATTTCATGCAGATACATCTGCTTAGGACAGTCTCCCATTCCCTCCTTGGTTTCTCCTTGTCTATCTATAATTGTTCTGTATGTCTTCATATGTAAGTTACGTCCATCACTAGGGTATGTGACTATCACTGGGGAATACTCTGAGCAGGAAAAGTTGTGTACGGAAGATAAAGACTTGGGAAAAAAAAGAATTGTTATTTGGAAAATGCCAGTGTCATTCTTAGGAAGGCTTAATGGCTGTCTCTGAAAGCACCTTGCTCAGGGACCTTGGATTCTTCATTACTGTAGGATGAAAGTGCTGTCAGTTTTGTAACATTTTCATCTTCACAGCATCCCATCTGGCAACAGAGTGCAACTAGTCCTTAATTTAGTGATGGAGGATTGAAATAGAAATCTAAGAATATACACTAACACTGACATCATCAAAGTTTTTTGAGCAAATTACCTAATCCCAGACCTATACCAGTGTCCATTTCCAGATCTATTCTTCTCCCTTATCCCATGAATGTCGCTCAAAACTCCATCTGATTTCTACCCAGAAAACTCAAAGTGATTTGATCCTAAATGACTTAAAGGAGTCGCATTTTGCACGATATGCCTCAAAAACAGACATGGACCTCATACCACATTTTTAAGGTCAGCATGGCTGGATGTACGCAGTTGTGCTTCCCTGGAATTTCCCTGGAGATCTGAGATAGTTCGAAAAGATAATATCTAAATAATCATTCATCACTGAAAATAAGTCTTGGCTAATTTCCAGAGCTCCTGTGACTGTATTTTCTTCATGTCAGTGCCATCCCTCTGTACAATTCCTCTTGTGTAGGTTTTTACTGAGGGCAGAATTGGTCACTTCATCTCCAGATGTCATAATTATCATTGCTTCAAGGCTGGTTAGAAAAAGACCTTGCTATTTGTTCAGAAAATAAAGCTTTGACAACTCTACAAGTTAGATGATTTGCCAGAGCTATATCCTGAACCAGAAATGAAACAGGTATAAAAAGCTGAGTTTCTGCCAGAACAACCTATTTGGGCCTGCACCTACTGCTGTTTGAATATGAGAGGGGAAATTGGAATGACTCAGTGTGCTACAACTCCCAGAGCCTAGATGTGAGTGACTGCTCAATCCACTATTATGCTAATATTTTAATGTTCTTTGGTGTTAATAACTGACAGATCTGTGCAGAACGTTACCTTTGGTCCAGAGTTAACCATGGAATCTAAATTTCACAAAGTTTACTGAGTTTATGCATAGCCTCTTACTCTGCCCTTACAAACAAAGAAGTCCAGACAAGGGGGAAAATAAGATCAAAATCTAGGTTTGCCCATTAAAATAGCAGAAACTCAATTATCTTGTCTCCAGAGAGTCAAGCCTGAGCCTTGAGATCAGCCTTAACTTCTACTGAATGTTTGTAATGCACTATGCACCAGTGTCATGTCACAAAGGTAGATGGGAAATGTTGACTCAGCCTGGGCAAAGGCTACCATTAGAATGAGGTGGTACCTAAATCTGAGCAGCAAGCTGGTTAGAGGTACAGAAAAGGACAAAAGGTCCTAAACCATGAAAGACACTGGCCTGTAGCCTGCTATATGGCCCATCTTCCTATACAGTAGATATACCTACAGGTATTAAAGAAACAATCCGAGATTTAAAAGCATTTGGCATCCAGAAAATTCTACGGCAACCTTGCTGACAGATTTCTAGAGCAGCTCCACATTTACTGCATTCCTGCGTTCTTCAGATAAGGCAGCTGGTGACTTGGTTCCTGGCATAGAGAATGATCTTTCTTGATCATTTGGCTGTGTCTCCTTATTGTTACACTCATATTTTGAAGATCTTTCGCAGGGATCATCCAAAGTGTTAAGGTGGAAGAAATCAGGGAAAAGATTAGATTCTAGGGGATGAATTTACCAGAATCACGCCCCTGTCAACCCGATCCTAACAATGATGTAAAACATAGAGTAAGTTCATTTTAGGTATGATCTAGTTGGAATGGTAAGGTATTTAGACCAGACCCATGTTTCTTTCTTTCACCCATACAGGGAAGTGCACCTAATTATGTTTGCTTTCTCAAAGCTTTGTTGTACTGTGTCCTTCACAGATTTCAGCAGCAGGAGTCAATTAGAGAATGACTTCCCTTCAGATAAAATGCTTCTCCCTGCCGTGTGTGCTACCCCCATGGCCAGAGCAAAGAAAGTGCAGGCAGCTCACTGCAGGAGAGCTACTGAGAGCCCAGCTTCCTTCCTGGGTGAGGACACAGGACATGAACACCTGGAAGGCAAAAGAAAACATGAGGAAGAGGAAGACCAACTGTGTGATTTCCCAGTGGACCATCCTCTTCATGGTGAGTGTCTCCAGACCAAAACTTTTTCCTAAAGTACTCAGAATGATAGCTGTTATCTCACATGTCAATACATAACAACAGACATCACAAATATTTCTACTCTAAGCTCCTGCCTGAGTCACAGGTGTGATTCATCAGTACAATTTAGGGGTTGACCTGATAGAAAAAACATCTAAGGAGAAGGACCTGGGTTTGTTGGTGGGTAACAGATAGGCCACAAGCCAGCGTTGTATCTTTGTGTCCTAGAAGGCCAGTGGTATATTAAGGTGCATTACAAAGAGCATGGCCAGTGTTCAAGGGAGGTGATCCTCCCCCTCTACTCTGCCCTGCTGAGGCCACATCTGGAGTGCTGTGTCCAGTTCTGGGCTCCTTAGTTCAAGAAAGACAGGGAACATCTAGAGAGAGCCCAGTGGAGAGTCATCAAGATGATGGGGGTCTGGAGCACCTCCCTTATGAGGAAAGCTCTGGGACTGTTTGGTCTTGGAAGAGAAGACTGAGGAGGGATATAATCACTGTTTATAAATATCTAATATGTGGGAGTCAAGTTGATGGGGCCAGACTCATATCAGTGGTATGCAGTGAACAAGTGTCAATGAGTGCACTGGAACACAACAAGTTCCATACAGGCAAGAACATACTTACTTTGAGGGTGACAGAGCACTGGAACAGGCTGCCCAGGCATTTTGTGGAATCTTCTTCTCTGGGGATATTCAAGACCTGACTGGATATTTTCCTATGTGACCTACTGTAGGAAACCTGCTTTAGCAGGGAGTTGGACTTGATCTCTAGAGGTCCCTTTCAACCCCTATGATTCTCTGTGATTCTGTGTGTGACTCTTCAGTCTAACTAACAAAAACTTAGAGGCTTACCCTCTGAGCTAAGCTGTAGCTCAGGTTTGTCAATCCTATCAGTTTTAATGATAGGAACTCCTTTGGGGGTTTATTGCTCTCCTACTTTGAGTGGCAATCTACAGAGTTAGCAGGAAGTGGATATTGCACAACATGACAAGCAAGGCTGCCGAACATGCCGAATCAGCCTGATGCACTGCACACACCCTGGACCCATAGCACAGATGGTGAACAGGTCAGCAGCACACACACAAGCAAACAAGCCATGTGCAATAGCTCGGGCATGTAGGATGTGACAAGTGCTACTTTAAGTTTGTTGAGTTTCTGGAAAGGTTAATGTGGACAATAATACTACACTTCAGAAAACAGCCTCTTAGTAGCAGTAGCAAGATCTTTCTTTCCCACTTGGTTTGTCTTGTGAGAAACTGCTGTCACCTCCTCTTTCTCTACGAGACAGTCTGTCTTAATGCAGAGAGAAGCGCTGTAAGATAGGTGAATATTTTAGCTGACTTTCTTCTTGTAAGTTGCAGACAGTCAATGACATGAAGGCAAAATCCCGTGTTGCATCCTCAAGGAGGGGTCAGGGAAGTGCGTCTTGGGCATACAGAGCTGCCTATGAGTGTTGAAAAGGAGAGTACTTTGAGCAGGAGGGAGTCCCCAGCCATAGGGAAGGCACTTTCCCAGGGTGGCAGAGAAGGTAGGCAGTGTCCCAGATCAGCATTTAGCTTCACTGACTGGCACAGTGGTCGGTACCCACCTGATAAGCAAAGTGGGAATAAAGCATGTAATTACCTGTATAAAACCGAGCTGGGTTGAGCTGACCCTTTCAATGACAACTTGTATTTTAAAGGCATTTTAAACAAAATCCCTCTGTTCCGTGGAGGCAGTGGGGTTTTGAAACCAAGCAGAGCTTTAATGATGTGCCATTTTCTAGGCTACTGGTTCCCGCAGTTGCTGAGTCTTTGATAGAAACTGGCTGAAGGAGAGGGAGGAACCAGAAGCACCGGATTGGCATTTTCCCCACAGTGCACAAACAATGATGTTTCGAATCCTGTTCACACACTGTGTCATTCTTAACAGAGAGTTGTAGGCCTGGGTTTAAAATCCTTTCCAGCATCATAAGTTCCAGTCTCCATCCTCCACTCTCTGCTGATGGAAAAGAGCTGGCAGCTCCTTTTCTCCAGCCTCTGCTACAGCTGGAGTCTCCTTTTCTAGCTGTGGTCAGCAGCAGTGCCTCCAGGAGAGGTAGGCTTGCATCATCCGCAGCAGCAGTCCTTACAGCTACAGCTAATAGCACACAAACTTCTCTTACCATGTCTATTGACTATGTGTTCCAGGTGTGCTTTTGGCACAGTAGCTATAGGCTGGTTACACAGAATCTGAAAGCACTCATAGAATCATAGAATCATTAAGGGTGGAAAAGATCTTTAATATCACCTAGTCCAACCATCAACCCATCCCCACCATGCCTACCATCCATGTCCTTCAGTGCCACATCCACACAGCTCTGGAATACCTCCAGGGATTATGACTCCACCTTCTCCCTGGGCAGCCTGTGCCACTGCAGCACCACTCTTTTGGAGAAGAAATTTTCTGTAATACCCAACCAGAGCCTCACCTGGAGCAGCCTGAGTCCATTTCCTCTTGTTCTATCACTGTTACCTGGGAGAAGAGACCAACTCCCACCTCACCCCAGCCTCTTTTCAGGCCTTTGTAGTGAACGATGAGGTCTCCCCTGAGCCTCCTCTATACTGAACAAACCCAGTTCCCTCAGCCATTCCCCGTCAGACTTGTGCTCCAGACCCCTCACAGCTCCATTGCTATTCTCTGGACACACTCCAGTGCCTCCATGTCTTTCTTGAAGTGAGGGGCCCAAAACTGAACACTGCACTTGAAGTGTGGCCTCGTGAGTGCCAAGTACAGAGCCCATTAAGACATCTTGGTGGTGTCGAAGAACAACATCAACCTCACCAGCAGGAGAGGCTGCTGACATGGAGGACAAGTCTCTCGCCCCTCTATCTATATAAAATATCTACACAGTTTGTGAGAAAATACACATGGCTCTGACTGAGCAGACACATTTGTGCAGATGTCAGGGAGCAGAATCAAGCGTGCAATAAAATCACTTCAGAGGAGGGAGAGATGGGTTTTCTTTGGTGCTTCTGCAGGTAGGAGGAAAAGATGAGGAGGAGACTATGACAATATACAATTCATGAGCAGATGCTTAGAGATAGCAGGAGCACTCCAACAGTGACCCGTGAGTTTGGATTTGGAGTATATTTCCAAGCAAGTCTGTAACATTGCAATGTTCCTAAAAACTTACTTTTCCCACAAGATGGCTTCTGCAACTAAATGGGTTAGAAACACAGTGTCATTTAAACCCAATAGATTTATGCTCTTATCACAAAGTACTTCTCGCACTTTGAACTCAGAGGCTGTTGTAAGCAAAAAAAAAAAAAAAAAAAAAGAAGAAGAAGAGCCCTCATATGTTAGAGATATGCATGCAGTGCCATTTAATTTTGCTGAGCCCCTATTTGAATTTGGAAGATTTCATTCAGCACTTGAATGCTTTCACCTGTGGCAAACTACATGAAAAACTCAGCAGAACCTTTTCAGAAAACCCAGATCTCAGAACCAGCACTGGCACAACCCAATTTAGGAAAAGACCAGACTGAGAGAGGCTTTACTTTGGAGCTGTGGTTATAGATGGCTGTAATTTTGCCATCTGCAGCCACCATCACTGCTGTTGAACTTAGGAACAAGCAGAGCAAATTCTTGCAGCCATCAGTCAGCATTATAGCACCAAAACCATTTCAACACCCAAGTTAAATACTGAGCACCCATTTTCTTTTTAGTTCCTCCTCTCTGCCCTGTGTGAGACACTTATGACTTAACATTTCACCTATAGCTCCTGCTGCAGGGTCCCATCTTGGTTCAGGTTCTTGCGGGCAATTCTTCTGCAGTGCATTTCACTCAGGCTGAGTCTGGCTATATATATTTGTGTTTGTGTGTCTCCTGTAACTTTTCACAACCAAATGTGGTGGGTGAGTGTTCCCAGAAATGCAATTATTTCATAAGTTGTTAAGCATGGGTAATGATTCCAATGCTGTGCTCCAGCCAGGGAACAGTCAGTGCCTCAGAGACAGATAATAGCATCACCTTAATACGCTGGCAAGTGCCCAGTCTTCTGGGACTTCTTCTCTGGGCAATAGTTCAAGCAAAGGTAGATTAGGCTTCCACAAATGGAGCTGGTTCCTAATTTCAGCAGGAACTGGGGAGTTCAGGGCATGGAACAACTAGACTGTGTTATTTTGTGCAGCTTACATCACTGTTTTTCACTGTAGAGGATCCTGCCACAGTGAGTAAAAGTCATTCAAGTATTTCTATAGCAGAAACCCTCTGCCCATTGATGATTGAGAACTCAAAGATATTTTTATTACTTTTACAGATTAATTTTAATGATAATATATTTGATCCCAAAGCATATTGGAGGCAATTATCATAAAGCCAATGGAAAATATGGGGATTATCCCTGACCTTACTGGGAAAAAATTCCAGCATGAGCCATGTCCCTTCTGCATTTATGCCAGTGGCAGGCATCTTTAGCTTGGTGTTTATGTTTTCTCTGAAACCATAAATTCATTTGTTCTGTTCATTTGCAGATGATATGGTCAAATCCATGTACTTCTGTAAATGGCATGGTTTATCACTCACAGAACAGTCCTTTCCCCAACATGCTGACTTATCTTAATGCATTTATAAAACTCCCCAAAGACACTGAAGCACTGTATAATCACAATTCCAGATAAATATCTGCTGCCCAGAATATGCCAACAGGACTGAGAAAAAGGGCAGAAGCATCCCATTGTCCTGAACAACTAAAGAAAGCAATTTGAAATGAAAAGGAAAAGCAGAAGAAAAAAATAAATGCCTCTATATATAATTTTGCTGCCACTGGCTATCTTACCAGGCTTCTGTTTGTCAGTGTGAATAGTCCCTGCTGTTCTGTGTCTCTAAGGGATGGAATTCTTATATGCATTGAGAAACACTGAAGACTATCATAATCTCTACTTGCATTGTTTTTTGGGGGTTTTGTTTTGCTTTGGTTTTTTCAGTTAAGGCAAACATTTGTATTCAATGCTTTCTTCCAGC